GTTCTTTCATGTAAGCCTTTAAGTTCAAGGAACATCAGATTCCGAACTGATTGAAATATTGTCAAGTTGAACTTGATCCGACACTCAATGAGTCTCACGTTTTGCAATATGTGTCCATGTTGTGTAAGCTTGGTATTATAATTAATATAATAAATTGAATATGACTTCTTGGATTTTGCGATAGAATGGATGTATTTATGTTATGAAAGGTTGGGATATAATCCTCTGCTCTTGTTGTTAAACTTACTTTTGTTCTGGCAAATTTGTTAATTTCAATATGTTCACTTTTTACAAAACATTTCATTTTTAACGAAAACACCGTTTAAGGTTCTACAACTAACACACAGGGTAGACAACATCATGGACCCGCTCTCAGATCATAAACCGGTACGCTTGGAAATCAACAGTGGCTCGCAAGCCACAAAAGACAAGAGTCTCTTCAGGTTGAGCCTACGCGTATTAGAGGACCCCGGGGTGGTAGACTGGGTATGGATGACATGGGAAGAATGGAGGAATTCCACGACTCTCTTTGACGACGAGGGCTTATGGCTGGATAAAGGTCTCACTCTTATCTCTAACCAGCTAAAACTTATATCACGAGTCAAGGACGTGAACAAAAGATATGAAGAAATACAAATTAAAAGGAAAATAGAAAAACTAGACAACAAAAAATCTGATTGCTTCTTTTCTGCAATACTTGCCTTCCGAAAAAAAAATAGGCTACTACAGGAATGGGAGAACCTGCAAATCAGAAATCACAACCTTTGGAATAAATACAGACAAATAGATAAAATTTTGTACATTGACAGACTCACTGATAAGACAGCTAATGCAACTAGGCACCTGGGTAACAATACACTCATCCCTCTCCTTTGACACCCCACTGATCCTAATTTACCACAAGCTAAAGATCCTTCTAAGCTCTGCGAGTATGTAAGACTATTTTATGAACAGCTACTTACCTCTGAAAAAACACATTCGGCCCCCGTAGTACCCCCACAGCTAGAGGACTTCTTATGGAGCTCCACCAAGCGAATTCTCTCAGATCTAGAAGCTTCACCACTGGAAAATCAGATAACAATGACTGAACTTACTGAAGCTTTCCACAGTATGTCCGCCGGGAAATGCCCAGGCCCAGATGGCCTACCGGTTGAGTTTACATCCGATTCTGGAACCTCATCTCACCGGACCTTCTCAGAGTCTTCAACAATATCCTAACAGACCACCCTCTTGGTCCTCGGACAGCGGAAGGTATTATTACTCTCCTTTATAAAAAAGGAGATAAAATCGATGTGAGGAACTACCGCCCTATTTTCCTCCTGAATGTTCACGGCAAGATCCTCGCCAAAGTACTAGCTCGCCGTATTAACCCCCTACTCCACAAGCTAGTACACCCGGATCAGGCTGGGTTTGTACCTGGTCGACAGGTCCTAGATAATGTAATGACCGTCTCTCAGTCCATTGATTGGATCAAGCAAAAGAATCTAAACATAGCAGTGATTTTGATTGACTTCCAAAAAGCATATGATCGCGTTAACTGGGATTTCGTCCAGGCCACCTTGGAACGACCGGGAATTGATAAGAATTTCAGGAAATTCGTGGGCTCACTATATGGAGCATCTTCGGGCAGAGTTCTTGTGAACGGACACCCCTCCTGAGCCTTTCGTGTCACTCGCTCCCTGCGGCAGGGCTGTCCTCTAGCCCCTTCCCTATTCGTCATCCAACTAGAAGTGTTTCTGAACCTAGTTCGTAACCATCCGCAGTACGTGGGACTACAAATCTCTCCCAACTATTCTATTAAGGTATCTGCTCTGGCCGATGATTTCACTGCTATCTGTAAAAACTCAATCCCCTCACTGACAACTCTGGAAGAATGCCTCTCGGCATACGAAACAGCCTCCGAAATGAGGGTTAGCTGGCAAAAGTCGATAGCCCTCACACCGGACGACTGCCCACTGGTTGTAGATCTGGGTATCAAGACAAAATAATGCACAGAATCTGAGAGATACCTCGGGATTCAAGTTTCCTTTGGGGATCACGCAGCGATACAGACGTCAATAACAGAGAACTCTATCCGTGACGCCTGCTCATCCTGGTCAAAAACACACTTCTTATCCTTCCTTGGCAGAGCAATGGTCATCAACACGTTCATCTCCTCAAAAATATGGTACATCTTATCTATTCGCCCTCTCTCACCCATCTCAGAAACCAATATAAGAAGGCTACTTACTAAACTCCTTTGGAAAGGAAACACTGAAGCCAACTCAACCCTCAGTAAAGTTAGCTGGAAAAAAATCACAGAAAAAAGGAAGGACGGCGGACTGGGTATCCTGGACC